AAGGTGCTGGACCCACATGGCTGACTCTGAGGATCTTAGATCAGCTACTTAATACTTTTGAATGCCCAGAAGCCAAAGAGAATAGAAGAGAAGGGATAATGGTGTGGCCATCATGCCTGGTGGGGATGAGTCTGGACTGAGTCACGGTGGTCAACCGTACCAGGTTCAGTCTCCTTAACTGCTAGGCTACGGGCTGGCCAAAGAGTAGATTTGAAATAGTCTCAAAACAAGTATGTGCTCTACTTTGTGAGTAGAGGCAGAGGAGGAGGTGGAGTTGGAGATGCTGGGGTGGCTGCTAAGTAGCTGCTCCACGCTTGTGGGCTTTGTGTAATCCATACCTCTACTCTCCTCAGAGAGGGAGGGAGACTTGGAGATTGAGAAGGAACCACCCCGTAGTTTCCAGGTTAAAGTCGCCAGGACTTTTTTCAAATTTGTGTGCTCAGTGGACTCAGATGTTGGCCTCAGCTCCTGGGCTCAACTCAGCAAATTGGACCACGAAAGCTGCATTAAGACAAAGGGAATGATCCATCAACAACATCTATTACTCTGGACTTGGCAGCCAGGAAGAGATGGGTGGTAGAAATCTTGCAAGTCCAAAAACAGGATGAAATGTGACAAAGAAGGTGAAGATGGGTGGTGGAGAGAGACATAACATTTCAGACCCTCAGTCTAGAAATGGTAGTAAGAAACAACAACTTAACAGACAGAGATAAGATCAGAATCCCCAGGTGAAGTTTGTTCATAACAAAAAAGAAAGAGACATAGTTAAAATTCATCAGCAGCTGCATGGCAGGCCATCCAAAATAGGGGCAAGAACAGAAATTTTCCCAATAATCAGAATTGGAATTCTGGCTTATCCAGTCCCAATTTACTTTCAAAACCTGAAGCTAATCAGAACTATGTGGGAGCCAGATTTAGTGAGCCACCATCACCAAATGTTCTTCTCAAACCACCAAGCCACTGGGTTCCTATTTCCGTTAATTCTAAGATAAGGACATAATGGCATTTCAACTTAAGGTTTTACTTAAAGCTCAAGTATAAAAGTAAGATAGAGTTCTAATGTTTAACTTTATGTATACTGAGAGTTGTCCATTGGTCTGAAACAGATTCTCTAGGAAGTAACTGTGTAAAGCTGTGAAGTAATGTAAAATATAATTATATCTCACTAATGTGTCATTGCACTGTGATGTAATGGCACTGTCATCAGCGCTACTTAAAAATAACTATGTAACTGTGCTTGATAGGAATTTTTCTCAGTTGAGTAGCTTTGAAGTGAAACCACTGAAGTTTAGGTTTGGGAATGATAAAAGAGTTAACCTTTTCCATTTATTGGGAGAAAATAGTAATTTAGCATACTCACTCATGGATCAGATACAATTAGTGAATCAGATCATAAGTTTCTAGCTAAGATATCCAAGGATTGAGAACTAATTGAACATTTGAAAGTTTAAGGCTCTAGAAACACTCAAATCAGTAATAAGCCAACAATCTTATGCACTGCCAAAAAAAAAGAATAGTATCCTTTTAATTTTTTCTATATAGCATATGTTCTCATGGGAGAGACAGAGGGAGAGAAATCATTCCCCAAGGTACATGGCCACACCACAATTCCTTCTTCTCCATTCTCCTGGCATTTTTGGCACACACGCAAGTCTCCAATTCAGAGACTCAAACAACTGTCAGCCCTGTGGGAATCCAGTGCATTAACCACTACATCACCTGCTGGCCACAAACACTTGCTAATTTAAAAAGATGTGAAATGTGTTTAGGACTATTTGACTTCCCTAAACCTAAAGATTAACTATTGAAGAGTCTCTCCAACCTCAGAGATTCATTTTGGCTTTCACCAGTTCTTGCAACCTTGATATGGATACAGCTTAGTGTACAGTGCCAGTGGGTTTTGTTTTTGTTTGGAGTAAATGCAACCCAGTGGGCCATTGTGTAGAAGACAGATTTGCTTGTATAATATTCTGATACCATGTTTACCAACTTTAAGGGTAAATGCTTCTGTTAACCCAATAAATAACATAAGAAAAAACCACGAGTCAATTTAGAAATTATTATTATTAATACTCTGTTCTCTAACTTGGCAACATTTTATGTTTATAAGCAGGATGGCCACAATTTTATATAGTACTTAGTGTATATAACATGAATTTAAAGCATGAAATTTTAAAATAAAAGTTATTTCTCTCCTCAGTCTCAAAAAAATAAGTATGTGAGATGAAGAATAAATTAATTAGCTCAATTTTATTATGTTATGATATATTCAGATTTATTCAATATATTAAAACACCATATATAGAGAATTATTTCAGTCAAAATATTTAAAAAGTTACACTGGATAAATTCATATGAGTCTCTTGATCGATGTTTGGTAAGTGCACTAAGTTTTTACAGTGTTTCTAAAATTACGCATTCTAAAGGGCACTTTTATTGGTAAATAACTTTAGAGATTAAATACATATGTAGCTTCTACATAGATAACTCTTTTAAGTGTGAACATTCTTAATGCAAAAAAATGGGGGCCTGGTATGGTATATGTAGATTGGTAATTTTCTCCAGTAGTTAATGTATACTTTTGTCATGAAGATCAGGTATTTATTGAACATTTTGAGGTGGAATGGTGGCATATCAATAAAATCCAGTGCTCTGTGAGGTCTGGAGACCTCTCTGAGTACTAACAGGCAGTGCATGCCCTTGGTCTATGGCTTAAGTTTGGGTGGATTACGGCATCAAGAACCTGTTGGGGGTGTTGTCTCTCTCACTTTCTCTTACTCATCTTTCTTGTTCATGGATGAAATAAATAAGAAGCTTTATAAAATAAATATTTAGCCATCCTAATTAAAAGATGCTTCTGTAGCTTGAGAAATAGAAATGGAGACGCATCAGAGTTAGATAGCAAACGAAGATCCCAGGTCTATGAAATCAAGTAGAGTGGTCTGGCATTCCAGGATCACATTCTGTCTGACTGATTTGTGGGATAGAATGAAAATATAATTAATAATGCATTAGATCTTAGACATGTGCTATGTCTTAGAACGAAACTCCTTGTTACCTAATATTCATGATTACCCTAGAGTAACCTAGAATGCTGCTTAGAGTTAAGTTCCCAGACACCTCTGTTAAAGGTGATAATATTTTAGGAAAAAAATTAAGGGAGTAAATGGATCTGCACTCTAATAACACTCAAGGAATCTATTAGTAATCTTTTAAAATGCATCTATAGAGACTAGCAAATGGTGTGGTAGTTAAGGTGCTAGACTCTCAAATGGCGAACCACAGTTCAAGTCCTAGACCTAGCAACTTGATTTGTTACTCTCCCTCTCAACTCTATCTCTCTCTGGTGAGTGCATGCAAAATTAAAATAAAATAAAGTAAAATAAAATAAATAAAATTTTAAAAATAAAATACATCTATAATTAAAAGGAAAAAAGAGCACACATGTCTTTTTCTCCTGCTTTTAGGTTTTTGCAATAGGGTGCATGGGCTTGCTGAAGAGAGTCAGTGAGAGAAAAATGAGAAATCACTCCGCAGGGAGGATGGCTATGACACAATCCCCTCTCCTCCATTCTCCTCCTGGAATTTTGGACACACACACATACATGCACCTGGTGTGATTTTTAAGTTGCCAGGTCCAGGACTTTAACCCTGTTCAGCAATGGGAGTTTAGCACTTAAACACTAGGCTACCTGTTCGCCCCAGGTACACATGTTTTAATTTATTCAACCAAAAATAAGGACATTTTACAAAAATAATAATCATTTTAAATTTTATTGAATGAAATATTTATGATTATTAATGGCATTAGGCTTTATATCATCAACTATATATTCAAGATAATAATTTTTCAAAACTATCACTCAATAATTAAACATGGACATTAAAAATTCTTTAATATAGGTTACAAGAGTTGAAAAGATTCTTTGACATCTTCTATTCCACTTAACACTATAGAAAGATTCACCTGATAATCTAGAGATTTAAGACCCTTATTCAGAAGAGTATAGTAGGATCCACCACAAAACAGGATTACAATAAAGCCATAGGAATGCGCAGCTCAGCCAGAAGCTCTGCATTTACCCCAATGAGCAAATCCAAATTTAACTTTACTTGTTCTGTAAATAAGAAGAGACAGAGAAAGAAAAACAAATTATTTAAACAAAATTTTAATTCTCTGAGTATTACCTAAAATGCTTCTCAACCCGGAGGATTTAAACATTTGTGCTTTACTTCTTCAAGCAGGTGAGCTCCTAATCCTGCATAATTCCTTGCCCCTGGCTGGAGCTACCTGCTTGCCCAGCCCTGACTCAGGCTTGGGACCCACCTAAACCCAAGTAAGGAAAAAATTAGACTTGGTCTTAGTGATTCTCTAAAAGCAGGAGATAATTTGGAGATTAAATGTGCAAAGATTTCATAAAAGGAAAACCCTGTGAGAGAAAATGTGGCAGTGGGTAGGAAGGCTGACTAAACCTTGACACTGCAAACTTTTTCAGAGGGAAGGAGACAGGAAGGGAGGGTGGAAGTGTCCTAGACTCCTGCACTCTAAGGCAGGCTCACAGGCTACCACAGATTCTGGAGACAAAGCAGCTCATCAGATGGGTCCCTTTGCAGCAGCATAGCCCACTGTGATAGATGACAGATCCCCGTAACTAGTCAAGTTTCTTGCTAAATTGGATCAGCATTATAGGGATGAGCATTCAGCTTTGGAATGCCTTGATATTGGTCATTACTCTGCCATGAGTAATTCATAGTAATCAAGTTAAATTCACTGATTTTTACATTTGCAGACTACCTAGTGGATTTATACTGAAAGGTCAAACACAAAACTACTTTTAAAAATGAGAACTTCAGAGAAGCTTCAATTGTTTTATGGCATTTACAGAGACACTTTTTTTTTTTTGATATTTTTGCCTTGCTCATCAGGAACACTGGTTTTTCTATCACTTTGTGATGGGTCCTTCGTTACTTTGGGAGAGCCAATATTTATTCTTGTGCTCTTACAACTTAAAACTGCAGAAAATGCATTCGTTTATGTAAGTTTCGCCATTAGTTCCGCAGACTGGACGTGTAATTCTGTTGCACATAAAGACTCGATTTTCAAAATTCCTGCAGTCGGGCTGTTAAACAAAAGCGATGTTAGAAAATTCATCATAAAATGAACTTTAAAAATACAATCCTATCTTCCTATCAAGTGTCATACACAGAAGTGAAATAAATATGTCCTATATTTAGGTTTATAAATACACATGGGAAGACCGCTGGTTCAGATCCAGAGTATTATCTGAGTACACTGAGCTCATGTGCCCATGATCAGGACGGCTGAAGCTGAGGGTGGATCACAGCCTCAAGACTGTCTCAGAGGTGCTACTTTCTCTATTTCTCTCTCAGAATTAAAAACCTTTTGGGAACCAGCAGTTAGCATAATGGCCATGTTGCTGGACTCCCACGTAGTCGACCGCAGTTCGCGTCCCGGACCCGGTGGCTTAAAACTCACGCAGGGTGCGTGTGCGTGCATGCCCAAGATCCCGAGAGAATGGAGGAGAAGGGATTGCGGTGTGACCATTCCCCCCTGGGGGGTGATTTCTCGCTTTCTGTCTCTATGTCTCTCTCTGTCTGTCTGGCGAGCGCACGCGCCATATAGCGAAAATCTCTCTCTCAAAAAAAAAAAGAATTAAAAACCTTTTAAAAAATCAAAATACTTAAAAGTTAAATATAAGCATGCAGGTAATTACAAACCACTTACACATAAAATGTTATTGGTATATTTTTACATATCTAACTTTTTTTCTAATGCCATGAAAATTGTTGAATATATTTTTATAGTTGTGCCACCTTGTCCCCCACTTCTTGTCATATCCAGGTAAAATCTACCTCATTTTTTTTTAAGTTTCTGCAACAGGGTGTGTACCCTGCCAGAGAGAGACAGAGAGAGATAGAGAGAAGAAAAGTGAGAAATCACCCCCTGCACAGGGACTGGCCATGGCACAATCCCCTTTCTGCCAATCCTCTCAGGATTTTGGCTATACATGCACAGGTATCTGGTCTGATTTTCAAGCCATCTCATCAAGGACTCGAACAGTGGTTGACCATGTGAAAGTCCAACACCTTAACCACTACACCACTGCTGGCCCCTATCCCATGATTTTAGTTATTTATTTCTTCCATGAAAGACAGAGAGACAGGAAAGAAAAGAGAGAAAGGCACCTTCAACAGACTTTCACAACACAACCCTCCCAGCCTTCACAGCCAGCCATGATCATGGATAAAAAAACACCTTTGTGTGTGTATGTGTGTGTGTGTGTGTGTGTACACACGCATGTCCATAGAGCATGATCCATAGATTTCAGTATATATATCATCTGTTTAGTGTTGTCATTGTTGCAATATATGCAAATAGAAAATGCTGTGTTTTCTTTCATGTTGTGCTTTTTAAACTTCTTTGTAACCTTTATCAATTGAGATGTTTAGAACTACAGTTCATTTTTTTACCTCCAGATACAATTCTCTTTTGTAAATATATGAAAATTATCGATTTTATCCACCCTTAAGTATTTAATTGGTTTGTTGTTTTTTCAAATACTTTTGCTATGCTAGGATGAATGATTCTCCTTTAAATACCCTTAACATATACTGGATGCTTATGAACGATGTAGCTTATGTCCATAGAAATCTTTGATATCTACAGTGGGATATTTTTACCTTGTCTATGATGTCCAATGGGTTTAATAATTACATAAGGGATTTATACTATAATTGCTGTTTGCTTTGCTATTATTTTTTGCTTTTGAAGGTTTTTCTTTAGTATATTATATGTCATAACATTTGCTATTATAAGGGCCTGAAGATGGTGTGGTTGTTAATGTCACTAGATTCCCACATGGCCAACCACAGTTCAGGTCCCACACTTGGCGGCTTGCTTTCTCACTTTCCCTCTCTCTCTTTCTCTCACTCTGTCCTTCTCTGGTCAAATTAAAAATAAATAAATAAAATAATAAAATTAAATAAAAATACTTCTTTAAATTATTTGATATTATAATTTATAATATACAAAGTGAATGTTTCCTTTTTTCACTTTCTAAGATAATCAGAATCAACATACCTGTTTTTCTAATTGTAAGGCTGCAAGAACAGTTTCTGTAAAACACACAAAAAAAGGATGAACAAATATGAAGAGGGGGAAAAAAAACAGTCTCTGAGGGGAAGTACCCACATTTCTCAGGAGCAGAAATCTGCATGAATCCTTACTCATGACCTTCTATATAATGCTATAAGCTTTCTGTGGCAGTACCAAAACCATAAATTCACAAAAAAATACCTCAAATCACAAATATTCTGTAATTCCCAAATGAATATTCCATTTGGAAAATAACTTCATCCAATTAAAACTATCTCCAAGGAAACCAGGATTTTTTTTTTCATTTTTATACGTGAGACAGCATAGTCAGAAAAGATACAAAGCCTTGTTTTGTCACTATGTCTTGCATAAATTGACGTAATATAAAGAAATTAATTAGCATATACTTAGTATTCACCACTAATATCAGAGATCTACCCAATGCTTCCTGGTTACTGAATTCTAAAATTTACGAGACACACCAAGCTTTGAGAAGGACAACTTGTCAGCAGAAGGATCAATGAGTCCTCTCCTCACACCAGCCTTGATTAACAGGACTGAGAGAGGGCAAACAACAGAATAGATTATCAAGGATATCAGTTTTAGAAGACATCATTACCTCCATACTTAGCATTTAATAATGAAAGAATCAGAACTCCAAAAATAGAGAAAATGGGCAAAGGTGTTCACCTGTGCAAAGATGAACAAAATCGAAGGATCCCTATCCTTCTAACTCACTGCTCTTCTCCACTTGTCTGAGATAGAAAAAAAGAAAAAGCAATCCACTGACATATACTAAAAAAGATATTTAGGGACCAGCAGTTAGCGTAATGGCTATGTCGCTGGACTCCCATGTAGTCGACCACAGTTCGCGTCCTGGACCCGGTGGCTTAAAACTCACGCCAGGCGTGTGTGCGTGCGTGCCCAAGATCCCAAGAGGAGAATGGAGAAGGGATTGTGGCGTGGACATCCCCCCTGGGGGGTGATTTCTCACTTTCTGTCTCCCCATCTGTCTGGTGAGCGCATGCGCCCTATAGCAAAAAACTCTCAAAAAAAAAAAAGAAAAAGAAAAAGATATTTATAACATGCCTTACTTCATTTTTAGCACTTTAAGTATTACAAACACATTAAATGCAACCTCTCCATTCCTAGAAAACAGCATTTCTTTTCTGCATTTTGAAAGAAATATGAAAAGCTTCAACCATGATTTGAAAATTTACTCACCAGAAAAAAGAGAAAATGCCAAGACGATGATGAAAACAGCTTTGATCCATGATGAGAAGAGTGCCATTTTGTCAAATCTATGGCAGACAAGAAACATTTAGGAATGTTCATAACACAGGGCACAGGGACACATTGTTCATTTCCAAATGAAAGGTGAAGGAACTTCTTCATCCTGAAAGCCCCAATTATGGTGGACACTATCCTTTGTTTTCCCCAAACCCTCAGGAGCAAGAAGACATAGCATGTGAATAGAAGGCTCCCTGGAGACTTGATAAACCCAAAACTAAGTCCTCCTCACACATCAAAGAAGGAACTGTCTACTCTCCTAAATGTTTGGGTTATCCCACAAGGAGTCTGACTGCATTTAAGGAAATATCCACATTGAAACATCAACTTTTCCTCAGAAAATAAAAATTATTTCAGGAAGAAGGCCCTAGAACAGTCTTCACAACAATAAAGGATACACCTCTAGAATGCTCACCTGACCCACCACAGTGGAGAGGCCAACAGCTCTAGATGTCGTGTCTGTTTCCTTCACCTTTCCTCTAGCTACCTCCACCCAGCTGAGGACTGTCCTTTATTGACTTGCTGTTGAGGAACTTGATGGGGGTAAGACCCAAGGTCCAGAACAGATAAGGCAGAGGAATATTCTGTGTCCTTCCTGGGGGCTGAAAAGTAGGTCACAAAATCTACCTCATGTACTTTTCAACAGATCTTTTCTCAGCAAGAGGTCTGGGACTATCTGATCTGATGTACCAAGAAGAAACAGTTGGGAGTTGGAAGGAGATTTAGTAAGACCACTTACAGAGTCTCACATAGAAAAGAGATGTGAAAGCTCTTCCAGCCACTGAGTTGGAAAGAGCAAGAGAAAAAAATGCAACAAAAAAGGAGAGTGAATTTGGGGAATGAATTAGACTCATGCCTAGACTCTTAAAGTTGTGCAATACCAGAAACACTTCTAACTTAATCACAGATTTTTCTATTAGACTTTTTACTCTGAATTACGTGTAGATTCATACAAACTTATAAATACAAATGCAGATAATTTTTATGTTTCCTTTGATCTGTATCCCAAATAAAAACATCACATAAAACCAAGTACAAATTTGCAATCAGCTATACATATCAGCTGGACACATTTTACCAAAGTCCGGTGGCACCACCAAGAAAATAATTAAATTGTTTGTATCTGAGGCTTGGGCAATGGTATACCTGAAAAACTTACCGAAGAGTCTCTGGGCAGCCTCCATAGGGATCACAGGCTAGAGGACAGGATGTGAATAGCAGGAGCACAAGATGAGAAAGTCTTGGAGTGAAACTCAGTCCACATGGGACTATGTCTTAAATTTTAACTAAAATAAGTGATCTTTACCTTAGAGTTATGTGGGGAAAACTACAGGGCTGATTTAAGATGAGAGTTAATCCGAGTTATTTAATGTCTTTACAAACTGATTTCTGGAGAAGGCTTTGGCAGTTGAACTCAAGTCCAAATCCTACCTACCACTGAATAATTTTGACATAATGATCAAATTTACTAATCCACAATTGTCTAATCTGAAACTTGAGAATAATTATTTTTATCTCACAGGTTTGTCAACAATACTAAGGATGTGATATTGAAATGATATGCCCTTATTATTTGTCATTCTACTTGTCACCCTAATCTAACTTTTTTATAGCAGTAATTAAAGCTAAGATTTATAGAAAAACCTTTGAGAGGGGCCAGCAGGTGGCATGGTGGCTAAGGTGTTGGACTCCCACATGGCTGACCGTGGTTTGCATCCTGGACCTGGCAGCTTGCTTTCTCACTTTCCCTTCTCTCTCTGGTGAAATTAAAAAATAATAATAATAATGACAAGTGAAATAAATCATTCTTTAAAAAAAAAAGAAAAAGAAAAAGAAAACCCTTTGAGTATAGCATTGTCATTGCAAGTTAATGGACATGGAATTGAAGGAAAGTTACACTGGAGTCTAGATTTTAATTATCATGTGTGCCCATGTCCCTGAGGGTGGCTTTCTATAATACTTTTATAGGTATTCATTAGCAGAGTTTAAAAGAAGGAGTCTGCCAAAGGTCACAACAGACCACATGTTTTTAATAACTGTTTGGTAATGATATGCTAGACACATGGATTAGTTAAAATAGCATCATGAAAGTAATGAATATGTTATTCAGCTTTGCCAAAGATGAGGTAAGAACAAGACTACTTCTTCACGTTGAAAGAAATGTGAAAATAGAGAGAGAACATTAATGGAAACAAAACCATTCTCTAGTTCTTCTACTATCACTGCCCCCATCAATTGTGAACAAAGAAACCTTTCTTTTTGCGTAACAGATTAGATAGCTCCCTGGATTTGATCTAGAAATACAAAACAGCAAGTGAGATTTGAGGAGAGCCCTCCCCTAGTTTACTAAATAGTGTATTTATGAAATAGTGTTGAAAACAGAATTATAGAAGTCCATATATATTAAACTACTAAAGTAGTTCGGAGTCTTCTAATTCCTCTCCTTTCTTAGCAGAGAACAAATTGGCTTGGGGAAATATCCCACCAGATTAAAGCTGTGTGAGATGCGAGTTTCTGAATAACACAGCACACCTGAAGCTGAGAGTCTAGAGATAGGTAATCACTAGTTTTGGGAGATTTAAAACAGAAGAGATGTGTTAGAGTGTGCCCATCCATTTGAGACTATATTTGAGAGTGGAGCAAAGAGACATGCGTATCTAGATATCCAGAAAATTGGGGGCAAATTTTTAAAAAGGTGTAAAATGATGGGTAAAGCAGGTAGCTGAGGACAGTATTCTTGGCATCCAAGGGTGTCTGTTGTTCATGACCGAAGTCTACACTGGGACCTGATATGGCTATTTGTGAGATCAAGAATCCAGCAGAGAGCCCAGTAGTTGGTGTGGTGGTTAAGGTGCTGAGCTCCCTCATAGCTGGCGGCAGTTCAAATCCAAACCCAGTGCCTTTAAAATCACACCAGGAATATGTGTATGCATGTCTAAAATCCTGAGAGGAGAATGGAGGTGAAGGGATTACACTGTGGGTGGTGATTTTTCACTTTTACTCTACCCTCTCTATATCTCTCTCTGTCTCTTTCAGGTGAGTACACATGCCCTATAGCAAAAAATAAATAAATAAATAAAACCTTAAAACAAACAAACAAAAAAAGAATTCAGGACACAACATACTCTGACCCAAACATGTTCATTTACACAGATTTTTAAAGTTTATTTGTTTATTTCTTCCATGAATGAGAGAGACACTCTTGATTGATGCCATTATTGACCCCAGCTACAAAGCTGACCCACATGGCTTGGGTTTATGGTCAGAGACCTCCCAGAGACTGTCAGACATGCATGTGCCCATGATTCACAGTTGGCTGAAGGTTTGGGAGGATCATGGTGCCAAGACTTGAGGATGCTACCACTGTCTCTATTTCTCTCCTTCATTCATGGAAGAAATAACTATAAATACACCTTTTTAAAAATCTTATGGGACAGTCTGGTAAACTTGTGGTTAAAGGAGCTGAATTCCACATGAAAAACTTCAGTTCAAATCCCAGACCAGGTGGTTTGAAAATCACGCTGGGCACTTGCACATGCATGTCCCAAATCCTGACAGGATGGACAAAAGGAGGAGAAGTTATTGAGATGTGACCACACCCCATCAGGAGATATTTCCTACCTCTTCATGTATCTCTGTTTCTCTCTGTTAACTATATGTGACTTTTTCTATTAAAAAGAAAAAAGTCTTACTATTAGAACAAGTTATTTTAAGCTGATGAAACCTTAGCATTGAAATAAAAACACTATACTTTAATCCCCATATTTTTGTTTTTATGTCATAATTTACATTTTAAATATTTGTGTGGTGTTTACAATTATTGTAGATATATTTACTGTAAACAATTTTGTTTTTCAACATTGATACTAGAAATATAAGTGATCTACATACCCCATATAATTTCAGTGTATAATGAATTTTATAGTATACTTACTTTTACCATCAAGTTTTATATATTCATGTATTCTTATTTTATTTAACAGCATCCCTTTATTGCAACTTGAAAAATTCCCAGTGGAATTTCTTGTATGATAGATTTTGTAGTGATAGTCTCTCAGCTTTGGCTTAAATGAGGAAGTCTTTGTCTCTTTTCCTTTTTCTTTTTCTTTTTCTTTTCTTTTTTTTTCTTTTAAGAAATTTTGCTATAGGGTGCATGCACTCACCAGAGAGAAAGAGAGAAACAGAAATAGAAAGCAAGAAACCACCTCTGGGAGAGATGGCCATGCCACAATCCCTTCTCCTCCATTCTACTCTCAGGATTTTGACACACACGAACACGTGCCCAGAGTGAGTTCTAAGCCAATAGATCCAGGACTTAAATTGCTTTCAACCACATGGGATTCCAATAACATAATCATTATGCCATCTTATGGTCTCTCTTTTTCATTTCTTAAGGACCGCTTTGTTGGGAATAGTATTCATGGGTGGCAGTTTTCCTTTTCTTCTTCATTTATTTAGAATAGTTATCCTACTCGCTCCTAGACTGTAAAGTTTTCTCTGATAAATCTCTTGATAGAATTACTAGAATTTTCTTATATGTCATAGACACTTCATTTCTCTTATTATCACTTTTAAGATTCTCTCTTTGCATTCAGTTTCTTGACAGCATAATTACTTATCTGTTTTATCTGGTGTGAATTTAATCTGATTTGAAGGCTTTGAAATTCCTGTATATAGATATTTATATCTTTTCTCAGATTTGGAAACTGTAAGTATTACTTATTTAAATAAATATTCTCTCTGTTTTCCATCTTGAAATTCTATAAAAAAATTAGTTTTCTTGATAGTGTCCAACAAACCTATAGGCTTTCTTGATTCTTTCCCATTCATTTTTATTTTCTTTTTCTGTTTATTTCCAGATAAACTGTCTTCAAGTTGACAGATTTATTTTGTGTACTTCATAAATTCTGCTACTGATGCCTTATATCATTTTTCATTATATTATACCCTTTAGCTTCAGAATGTTTTATATTTCAAACTCTTTATTAGATTTCTCATTATGTTCATATAG